GTTATCTCTACTTTGAATTTTTAAATGCACTGAAATTCACTAATACCCACTTCCGCAAAAATCACCTTATTTCGTATTTCCTTTGTTAAAAGTTATTGTAAATCACATATTTTTATTGCCTTATTAATAAAAAATAAAAATTTTAAAAAGCTTTTTAAATTGCCGTTTACAAACATTTTCCAATTTATAAGCCTTTTTAAGTTACTTTATTGTTTATGAATAAGGCTATTACAAATTAGCACAATCAAAACACGTTCCTTATCGAAAAATTTATTATTAAGAAAGTTTGCTGTTCTCACATTTTCTTTCAACATCCAATTCGACTTTTATTACTTTTTGTACAGATATGTCATCGCCGCCAGGACGGCGCAATCTTGTATTCTATCTTTCTTGTCAAATATTCATTTAGATCTAACTGTCATACTACTATTAATGGTAACCATGAATATTCATTAAAATCGTTTCAATTCGGAATAAAAGTAATTTACATACTGCTAGTGTAAATATATTTTTTAATACAAACTACCTTTTTTAATTCTAAAATAAATCGACAATCTCAAGATTTATAAGAAAATTGTCTTCAAAAAATACGTAACAAATCATCCCTGTTGATATCATAATTCAAATGCAAATTAGAATAGAAATTTTGATACAAAAGTTTTTCCGCGATATTCATCATACAAATTTATCATCTTACTTGTCCGTATGTCGCTCTGGAAAGAAATATATTTTAACTGATATGTTTTCTTGAAAATAAATACAAATTTACCTATTTTTTCCAACGGCAGGCACGAATATGATATTCAAAATAGAAGCAATGACAACGAATTTTACACACATTGTTGTATTTTAGCGCAAAACGATAAGTTTCACAAATATTTTGAATTATTGCCTGGAACATACACATTTATCGTTATTATTGTAAATGCAAGACTTGGCACGCATTTTTAATTTCTTTTTTATTGAATTCAAATGAATAAAAACACATTTTTCTAAAATATTTCTCAATTTACATTTTAAAGTTTTTTCTGAAACTTGAATGTAACTCTGTGAGGAGAATGAGAGAATTGAAAATCAGGTGATCTCAGCTGTTTTCAAATGTAAACAAACAAAATGGCGCTTTCCATACTTGTAAGCCTATACAATGGTCAAAGGTCCCAATCACGGCGCCGATCTGGAAGTCGGAGCAACAATCTGAGCTACTGTTGGTACCACAATCGGTTTGGCGTTAAGGTTTCTAAGTGCATAGCACCTTGTAGTTTTGTTACAAGAAACCAAATAGCGTGTCAAAGCTCGCGGCTACCGATATCACATTTTCTACGTCCGGCCGCTTATTTATTTAGGACAAATCAACAAGGATAAAGTTTTTGATTGACACAGGAGCTGATATTTCGGTAATTCCTATGGATAGACCTGTATCACAGAAAATTCCAGAAGGTGGTGTTCAACTTTTCGCTGCGACGCAAATTAGAACATTCGGTACTAGAATACTGCAACTAGATCTTGGACTGCGCAAATCGTTTTCTTGGTTGTTCGTTGTAGCTGATGTAACCAAGTACATTATTGGTTCTGATTTTCTTAAACATTTTCATTTATTACCCGACCTGAAAAATTATAAATTGGTAGATGGCTTTTAACTGCACCTGCAAAAATTTCCAAGGAACCATCGTTTGGTATTACAACAATAATAAAGGACACTCTCGCTATCTTGTAAGAAGAATACTATTTTTCATCATATTGAGACTTCAGGTCCTCCAGTTCGAGCAAAAGTAAGGCCATTGGATTCAAAACGTTTAACCATTGCAAAAAAGGAATTTAAGTTTATTTTGGACAATCAAATTATTGGTGCATCAAAAAGCAGCCTATCCAATCCTCTTCATATGGTACCCAAAGCAAACGGAGACTGGAGACCATGTGCGACTACCGATTTTTTAATAAAATAACCATTCCAGATCGGTATCCCATTCCCTTTATCACGGATTATGTACACTGCCTTCATGGACGCAAGTTTTTCTGGAAGTTAGATCTTATACGAGCATATCACCAAATAAGCGTTAATACGCAAGATATAGAAAAGACGGCAATCATTACGCCGTTCGGTCTTTTTGAATTCCTCAAGATGCCCTTTGGACTGAGGAATTCTGCGCAAAGTTTCCAACGTCTAATGGATGAAGTATGTCGCGGTTTAGATTTTGTCTTCGTGTATATTGACGATGTCTTGATTGCGTCAAACAGCGAAGAGCAACACTTGCAACACTTAAGAATGCTTTTTCAACGATTTCGCAAATTTGGGATGATTATCAATCCAGCAAAATGCCAATTTGGAGTAAAAGAAATCGATTTTCTCAGTTTTCACATTTCATCTGAAGGCAGCACCCCAGCGGTAGAGAAAGTTCAAGCAATTGCTGAATTTCCCAAACCTCAAACAGTTTCTGAGTTGCGTCGTTTCACGTGTATGCTGAATTTCTATCGACGTTTTCTTCCTCAGGCAGCACAACATCAAGCTCCACCCAATGAGTATCTTAAAGGTGCTATTAAGAAGGACAAGCGACTCATAAATTGGACAATTGAAGCTGAGGAAGCTTTTAGTAAATGTAAGTGTTTGATTGTTAATGCCACCCTTCTGGCTCATCCGGTTAGAGATGCTCCGCTAGCACTCAAAGTAGATGCATCAAATCTTGCTATTGGAGCAGTGGTGGAGCAACAAGTTAATGGAGCTTGGCAACCTCTCGCTTTTTTCTTGCGCAAACTTAGTTCTACGGAATGCAAATACAGCACGTATGATCGCGAATTACTCGCTGCTTACAATGCTGTAAAGCACTTTCGTCATTTTTTAGAGGGGCGTGATTTTACTCTTCACTGACCACAAGCCGCTTACATTCGCCTTCAATCAAAATCCTTCAAAAGCTTCGCCAAGGCAATACATACACTTGGATTACATCGGTCAATTCACTACGAATATTGTTCACATTTCCGGTGTGAATAACTCTGTTGCGGATGCTATGTAAAGAATGTAAGAAATTTCTACCATCGATTACGTACAACTCTCTGAAGCTCAGAAAACAGATGAAGATATCAAAAGATTACTTATATCAACTGATTCTGGTCTTCAATTGAAACTGATACCGTTTCCAGGTTCAGAAACTGAAATTTATTGCGAAGTATCTCAGGGTAAGCCCAGACCTATACTTCCTGTTAGTTTTCGACGACCTGTTTTTAAGATGTTGCATAATCCAAAAGGGAATTTCATCGCATGCCCCGAAAAGGAAAAAAGTCGCTTTCTGCTAGGAAGGGGGTAGTGTGGTGAAACACTTTGATTTAAAGGCACTTTACTTCGTAAACATAATTCACGGGTTTCCTTTATGGCCGTTCGTTAAAGGGGCGGTGGGCGAAAGGTAAGTGGGCGTGGCACCTCTAACCCACCTTTTTGAATGAAGGGAATGAACCCCCATTGACAAAAATGCAACCCCCGCCCACCTAGGTCCGCAATGGTTTCCTAGGGACGCCTTAGAAAAATTGCCAAAAATCACAATTTTCATTTGCGTTTATTCGCTTAAAAAATGTTAAATATTCATTTGCACAATAAATGTACACATTTTTATATACAAGACATTTTTATAAAACACCCAGTAACCAAAGTAGACATCACGGGGGCGGCAGCCCCAGGTTTACCACAAAGAAAGGGAATTCTAGTTACCTCATCCTTTCCAAGGTTACATCACTGGGGCGGTAGCCCCAGTTAGGTCACATAGAAAGGAGAATTCTACGTTATAATCCCTTAGCGCGGCAGAAGGCCGCCTACGCAGAAAGGAATTCTACGCAAAAATACTGTGGACGCAAGTAAAAATGCGATTTTTGGCCATTTTTCTAAGAGGTCCGTAGGGAACCATAGGGGGCCTAGGTGGTCGGGGGTTGCATTTTTATCAATGGCGATTCATGCCCTCTCCAAAAAGATCGGTTGGAGGTGCCACGCCCACTCCCCCTCCGCCCACCGCACCTTTAACGAACGGCCATAATGGAAAGTTTCCCCTAATTCACTTTTACTTTTACATTTTACTGTTCAATGACTTTCAAAAATTTTCTTACTTTTTCTTCATTCGTTATTTTGAGCTGTAAAAACGAAAATATTCTTTTCGGGAATAAATAAATTAATTTTGGTTTTAAATTGTTTTCATTAACGATTCTCAACAATCTCTTTGAAAGATTCTCTCTATGACAACAAAATTTAAAAATCTCTTTTTCTGCTCCGAGATTATATACTCTTTAATTCCTCACTTTGGGGGATCTCCCTTCAGGCTCTAGTGGGTGATTTTTTTAAACAAGTGATGTATTAAATTTATTGTATATACATTTAGGTACTATGTGGAAGTAACGGATGTCCTCACATCTGTTCAGAAAACAGAAGAATCATTACGTCGTTTGCGCAATCTTAAGTCTGGAACTTCAAATGCCTTTACAACAGGAGCAACAGCGATGTCTGATGACGATAAAATACGACTACAACTCCATGTTGATGTGATAACATGGACTGGGGAATTGGCTAAGTTGGGCCTTATGCCATCCGATGTTGAAAACTTGTTCAATTTGAATGATATCGTTGAGGCAAGCTCGAAAATAAAAGGAAGAAACGACAACGAATAAAAAGCAAACAAGAAGGATTTATTGTTTTGTACTAAACATGAACATATTTTAAAAGTAACACTTAAGTATAATTATTACTTTTTATATTTACATGGTACTAATTTACTTTCAGCTTCTCTGATCTAGTTACATTTATACTTATATTTAAATGTAGTTGAAGCGTTATTAGGTACGCATTACAAGACACTTTCTTGGTAAAAATTGCTAAATATATACGTGCATATGTACTACATGCATACATATAAGTAGATTGATATAATCATAGCTGTAGTAAATACATATTCACCCCTATCGCGAGTGTCGACTAGTAATACATAAACGACTATTATTCGATTATCGATTATCCATGGTATTTTCAATGTCGTTTTCTCTTTCAATAAGTGAGTGTGAATGGTTTTTAGTCGTAGAAGGATGAACGTCTAAAACTGTCCACAGTCGCTTATTGAACGGAAATCGACATTCACAATACCATTGAAAAGAGATAATCGAATAATAGCCGTTCATCTACTACTAGTCGACACACACAATAGGGGTGATTGTTTTTTTTTTACTGTTATTTATATAAGAAAAAATTATTTTGATTGATATTATAATTTGTAAATAAATGCATTGATAAATTTTGGTGTATATACTTTTTTGTTGAGATTGATGTAACTGGCACAATTTTTTTAAGTCGTTTTACATTATCAAACAAGGCAAAATGTATAAAATCCAGATTTTAAAAAGTGTAAAACTCAAACGACTTGGCGCGTATATGTAAATAGTCCAAAATGTAGACTCTGAATACATTATTACAATTTCAACTCGTCGGTATCAGGCAGTTTTCGGAAGAACCAATCAACGCGTTCTTCAGTTACTGCTTCCAATGTAGAGGGATTCCATCTAGGCATCTGGTCTTTGTCAATGAGAAGGGCACGAACCCCTTCTTTGAAGTCACTGTCTTCCAAATGACGAACAACCATACGATACTCCATTTTTAGACATTGCGGCAGCAGCAGTTTAGAACCTAATTCCAATTCCCGAAATGTGACTTTTAAAGACAGCGGTGAAACTTTTCCAAGTGTCTGTTAATGAAATTTAAAGAAGAAAGAATATGTGTATAATTATGCTGTGTTAATACGAGTATTTAAATGTAATAGTAAACACTCACTACGTTTATGCGTAAGCCCGTTCTCGAAATCATTTCTTGAATTTGAGTAGAAAATCGGTGCATTGACACCTTTTCGTGTATAATTGAATCCATGAAATGGTGTTTATACACTCAAATTCTTGAAATGATTTCGTGAATTGGCCTATCCATAATCGTGCGTTATAGATGCATCTACACACGTTGTAACCGAGCCAAACCAATCGAAAACAAAAAAAATTGTATGAATATTCGGACTTAAATTGGACGAAAAATAATGTTAAGTTTACACTATTTCACATAGATATGACAATTACAATTATCGAAAGCCCGCACCGATCCCGCGTCCACTCAGGTGATCCATGGCGCAATACACAGGTGAAGTAATAAAACAGCTTTTTGGCTTTATTTTCTGGCATTCGGCTGCCTTATAGGGATGTAAATTACGGTGAAAACATCGCTGTTTCGAAAAATTACATAGATGGCAGTTCGATGTATCGAATGAAAACCTCAATGTTTTCACAGATTTTTCTAATTTTTATACAACCGTTTCTTATTGTTAACATATTGACTCAGAGAGGTGGTTTACAAAACAAATATAAAGTAAAAATTTAATCACATATCATGCAAACGGACGTAACAAATATCGTCGCTGAAATTCAAAAAGTCGTAACTAATACAAAATTCAAAATTAAGTTTTTGATTGATATGATGGATTTCATCGAATTACATCTCCCACATCTTTTAATGAAAAAATAAAAAAAAAATTAGTCACGACTTTTTCCATTTCAGTTACGATGTTGTTACGTCTTTTCGCATTTCAGGTGACGATATATTTAAATTTTTCTTTTCACAAATATTGTGAGGAAAGTTTAATAAAATTTCACTGAGCCCGCTACCAGTTTATCAAAATACCTCCAGCACAAGCTTCGTTCGTTTATTACTCTAATTAGAATCCCTGGCGTAATACATACATATATAGTATGTTCCTTTGAACTTCGGACTAAAACCTGTGGAACTGTCAAACTACAATTTTACTCTCTCAAGTGAGAGTAAAAGGAGAACAGATGCAGAAGTGCACGGGAACGCAAAAAGCACTATTTCCTGTAAAAACGTCAGTCGGTTTGTTTACATGTCACTTGTACAACACTGATTTGGTTGAAATATCACTAACAAATTACTAAATTCTATACATATTCAAATATTTCGTTGTTTACTTCCATTATTTTACAAATATAAGGTTCTTTGCTTTCACCGCTTTCTGTTTTTGTTTGCACATGCAAATCAGCTGATCGTTTGACACTTTTCATGAACTCACAGGAAAAAAAATCCGGACTAAATTCTGTAACTTCTGACTAGGAACAGTTGCTCAGATACTCTCTCAAATGTGTTCCCACTTACAGGTTTTATGTCAATAGGAACGACTTCCTGTAAGTTCTGACTAAATCCTGTAAACCGGACTGCTATTGGAACATACTAATAGCTTAACACATATGTACACTACATACTTATAAACCAATTAAAGTATTTCTTACTTATATACGTATACATATATGAACATTTATTAAATGTAATATGGGAATTTAATAAAGAAACATACTTGGGCATGATTCCACGAAAGTACTTATTAATCGCTATTAAACGCTGGCACAACATTTTAAAGCGCGCACAAAACGAAATGGTGAAAAATTAGTCAAGAAACATCTTTGATGTTTTTCAAAACATCGATGTTTTAATTTAACATCGGATTCGTAAAGACATCGACGAACATCGATGTTTGAAGTCACGACAATCGATGTTTCTTTTTACATCCCTACTGGCTTATAGTAAAATTTTAAAGCATGCGAAAGGCAGAATGAAAGATGGTTCACATGAGAATGTCACCCCTATTGTGAATGTCGACTGGCAGTAGATAAACGAATATTAAGCGATTATCGATGCTATTGTGAGTGTTGTTTAGACGCTCAATTAGCGACTGTGAATACTTTTTAATCGCCCATCCTTCGATTGCTGGTTTTTAGTCGTTGGAGTTTGCGTTTATAAAACTTACACAAGAAAGTGGTACTTTAATGGATAAAAAGTAAGACAATTGAACTGGAAGTTGTAAAAAAATTGTGGAATTTACATATGTGTTTGAATTACAGGTCAAAAATTGTAAGCAACAAAGGGCAACTTAGCGGTTGGTCGAGCTGATGCAGGAGAATGTGGACATAGGCAAAGGAATTTGCGGAAAGAGTAGGGGCGGAAGCTCCGCTTCTATTGTGAACGATATACAACATTTATGGTGCATATAACTCCGGCTACGCCATCTACAGTGTTTTTGCGCAGAACCAACATCAAAGTTTACAAAAAACTGCATAATTTATTAATTAACTAGTGCTCGAAAATTTGAAATCTTTATTTTAAAATAAAGTTTAATTTTTTCACTGCACGTGCATGTTAAAGTTGTTAAAATCGGGTCACGCGTTTGGATACAATTACCCAACATCATTGTACAAATAAGTACGCGGTACCGTATTTCTTGAACTAGTTGCGTTCCAGATACTTCACGATTTGCAGGTTTTTACAGGATGCTGTTCCAGATGGCCACCTTCCATAAAGTTTATTATTGCCAGTTTATTATTAACAGCTTTTCCTGTAAATTCTGCAAAACCAACAAACCGTGAAGCATCTGGAACGCAACTATTATTCATGAAATTCACATATGTATATACACTTCATCTTCCAACTCCAAGGTATTCGACGAATCTCGCAATTTCCTCCTTGCTTTAGCCAATTCTACTAATCTATTAGCTTTCACATCACCTTCCTCATCACTAAAGCATATTTCAACTGTATCCATTTTTTTAATTTTCTAATAAAAGCAATTATTTTAAAAATGATGTAAATGAAACACTAAGGCTTTCTGCTCATTGGTCGTCCAATCATAGTTGAGTCATAGTTATCGTCATGAAGCAACGATTACATGACGATTACACTTCTGCACACTTGGTCGTGATATTTCAATTCATTTGGCGTCTAAAAATTCACTTGGAGCAGGTATTTTCTGTTTTTTTTTGGTTGATATTTTCGGGAAATATTTACAAAAACCTGCAATTTTTTAAATATAGACTGTGCTGCAACATTTCTAGACGTAATTTTCCAGTAATATCTCTTCTTTTCTTTTCCTGGAATGTGTTTTGTGTATGCACACAGAGACTTAATACAATTTCGTCATATTTTATAGTTAAAAGGCTCATATTTATTAAATTTTAATGCAATTATCCACTTTTTAATTTATCAAGTTTTATGCAACAAAATACTAATTTTTATACAATTTTAATGCAAATATTAACTCTTTCACTAATTTTCCCCCATAAAATGTAAACAAACAATGCGTGCACAACGATTAGCAAACGACAGTGCCGTACTTATCCGTTTCTGCATCTTCTACGATTTGCCGATAACTAGCCGATAACGACAAGTGTGCAGATCTCCTTTGAAATGCATGTGCTCGGCTCAAAATTTCAGGGCGAGACGATAACGCAACTATGATTGGACGACAAGTGTGCAGATAGCCTAAAGAAACAAATGTAAACAAACAAACAGCCGTTTACAATTCAGTCAACCATTCACAGTAGTACAAATTTTTTTCGATCAAGTTACACAATAGCAAAATAAAAGATAATCGACTCGATCGACAAATTTCTACTCTACTGCCAGTCGACACTCGCAATAGGGGTCTGAAAGAATTATGAAATAGCAGAATATCGAACCAAAAACTAATTTAAAATATCTGATAATGCGAATGACGTTAAAATGAAATAATTGTAAAATATCGAAATGTCGAAACAGAAGAAAAAGATTACAGGCACGTATTCAAGGAAAAGTGTCGTGTTGCGCCATTCAATATTTAAAAAAACTTTAATGAGGCTAAATTTACTCCTATACGCTTTTTTATTTAGTTTGCAAAACTACATATTTCGCCAGTCAAAAAGTATATATGTACATATCGCACGTTTAATAATATAGAGATGTAACTCAAAATTTACGTTTTTTGAGATTTCAATATGCAATTAATAAGCTTGATAAGTAGAATATGTTCAGTCTAACAGATAACCAAACTCCCCAAACATGGCGAAGATATGTGTCTTTCCATCTGTCTTTTTTTATACCAATTGTATGAAATTATAAAACTTTGATTGCGTTTTCTCACAAAATTGAAATATTGAAATACTTCCTCATATTATTAAACGTGCGATATATAGCATCCCGCCATAAGATTTATTTATATGCTAATGTCCTTATTCATAAAAAATAAGAAAAGATTCCAAGAGCTATATAAAGTGTTTTGATTTGTAAAACAGTTAGTCTTTTTATTTTTTATGAACTTGGGTGTAATCAAGGTATATTAAACATAGTATGATTGACAACTCAGTGGGGCTTTCTTTTAAGGTATTATCATATCAAAAAATAAACAAACGATTTAAAATCAGAGAATCGAACATAACAGTTATTGATGAATATTCACCATGAAGAAAATGTTCTACAACTAAGTGATACACACCAATCAATTTCTTTATTCACCAAGAATCAGATTTGAAAATAAATTTTCATTTGTAATTTTTGTGCAAAATTAAAAAAAGATAACAACTAATTTTGATTTTTATTTTACAAACTAAAAATAACTATTATTTTTGATTTTAATTTAAATAATCTGTAAATAACATGATTTTTATGTATAATATGTCTTAGATAACAGTTATTGAATACTTTTATTTAGACGTATAAAAGTCATTATAATTTTTCGAAGTTAAGAAGGTGTTGTAGAACCAAAGTTTACTACGTTTATACAAATGACTTTTATTGATGGATTTTATAAATAAAAGCCTTCAGTAACTGCTATCTGAGATATATAATTTAAAAATCAAAAATAACTGTTATTTGCAGATTATTTAG